AAACTGGGAGCATCCTGGCAGACATCTACTGTATGTAATACACTGACTATAGATAGGTACTCCTTGCAACCCCACTTCAGAAAATCTGAACTATCTTTTTAACTATATTTACCCCAATACTGTACTTTATCACAGTTTGGAGACACCTGCACTTGCACTTTATTTCGGAGTAGGTTGCATTTCTTTTACAGCTGTTGTCATTGATTATTTTGCAGATTAAGAGTAAAAGGTCTTTATGGTTGAGTTTAAATTAGCTATTTATTATGCAAACTTATGTTAGCAGTGCACTTTCCCCCCTGTGAATGTTTGGTAGCTCATTCAACAAACTGAGGTGCAAGACAAGACCTGCTCAGGTTTGTAAGTTAAATAAGAACATGAAAGTATTTGGTTGTTTTGTTTAGCATGCTGCTGTCTGGCTCACTGTGACCGTCTGATCTACCTATGATACAATGTACTTTATGCAAGGTTTGATAGGCTGTGTGGAACCAAGGTTTTCATCTATGGTATTCCATTGCATTAATTCAAAACTAGTGATAATTAAACCAACAAAACATAATATAAATTTCTTATTTTTAGTTTGTAATATTTTTTTCAAGAAAAACACAGGACAAGTGGTTTGCAGAGCAGATATGTACGCTGTTGCAGACAAAAATTGGACTTAAGTGCAACCAAAATTAAGTATTTCTGTTCTGTGTTATACAGTGATGCTGGCAACCAGGACCGTGTGGTGATTCAAGAGCTGATTAAAACTGTGGCTCAGTCTCAGCAAATCCAATCAAGCACCCAGAGAGACTTTAAAGGTAGGAAAGAAACACATCCCTTTAGGCCACTTTAACCTGAATGCTGGTCCATGTTTGAGAGCGTCTTTAAATCAGAGCATCGCCCCTCTATTAACCAGCTTTGCTGAAGCTCTGTGAAGCCATAATATCAGACTGTCACTCTTGTTGTAATTAGCATACTTTTGTTCTCAGTGGTGTTGCTAACAGAGGTGGACAGACTCACAAAGGATGCCCAGCACGCCTTGCGCCGGACAATGGAAAAGTACATGTCCACCTGCCGTCTCATCCTCTGCTCTACCTCCACCTCCAAAGTCATTGGGCCAATTCAGAGCCGTTGTCTGGCTATCAGAGTTCCTCTGCCGAGCACAGAAGAGGTAAGAAGGAAAAAAAATCTACTTAGTAATCATCTGAAAGTAGCACATTAGAACACCTAAAATACGCTGCATGATGTCAACAACAACAACAACAACATTTTCACGTGTTTTTTATGTTTGCCAGGTCTGTAGTGTTCTGACATCAATCTGTAAAAAGGAGGGTCTGCTCCTCCCACCTGAGCTGGCAAAGCAAATCAGTGACAAGTCTGGTCGCAACCTCCGTAAAGCCCTTTTGATGTGTGAGGCCTGCAGAGTGCAGCAGTAAGTTGTCACAAAACTTACAATCATGGATTAACATCGAATATAAATGGAAAGGATCTGCTTATTTAGTGTGTGTAAATCTTTCCCAGGTATCCATTCTCTGCAGACCAAGACGTCCCGGAGACGGACTGGGAGGTCTACCTCAGAGAAACCGCTAATGCCATCGTCAGCCAGCAGAGCCCTCAGAGGTAGGAGAGGCAAAGAGAGAGAGAAGAGCTTTAGTTGGTTCTGTCAGGGACTAAAGTTGTCCAGACTTGAGGGGATATTAGGTTCGTTCGAAATGAGCCAGTCCTGCACAGATTCGATCACCAGCGATTGGCGCACAGTGCATGCCAGTTAGTTTTGTGTCCGACTTCATCCCGACTTGCTCTGACGTATTACAAAAGTGGACGGCGATAAAGCCGCAAGAGCGAGGCGGCCGCAGTTTTTAGAGCCAGGCGCTGCAGTTGCTCTCCACCGACTGCACCGCCTGGCTCTCACCTGATTGGTTCAGACGTCGACTCAACAAGATGACGTTTTAGATAAACTACTCATTTTTGTTGAATTCTAGAGATTAAGATTGTATTTGTCTGATCTGAAGGTTTATTCTGTGAACAGAAAACATGTTGTGTGACTGATGGTGAAAACAAACTGATAAATGGGTCTGATCACTGTTTTAATGAATTGACATCATTCCAGACAGGATGTTAGTATGTCTGTGACTTCCTGCACGGACTGAAGGCTGCTGGAAACTGTCGGGAAACTGTCCGACTTCACCGCAGCTTTTTGTCACTGCCCCCCGCTGCGGCCGCCTGCTTTCGTCTACTTTTCAGGCGAGGCGCAGTTCATCTCGAACGAGCCTATTCTAACGCTGAATCCCTGTCTGTGTCTGTTCCAGGTTGTTGGAGGTTCGAGCCAGGCTGTACGAGCTGCTGACTCACTGCATCCCTGCTGATATCATCATGAAGGTACCGCTCACTACACCTCATCTCCCATATAGTGTTGAAACAGTTTGCAGTGATGTTTAAGGTCATGAGAATTTATCTTGTCCAATCCTCCAACAGGGTCTGGTAACAGAGTTGTTAAGCAACTGCGATGGTCAGCTGAAGACGGAGGTGGCTCACATGGCAGCCTACTACGAACACAGACTGCAGCTCGGCAACAAAGCTATCTACCACCTCGAGGCCTTCACTGCAAAGTTCATGGCCATTTACAAGAAGTTCATGGAGGACGGTCTGGATGCCATGATGTTTTGACTCTGAATGGACTAAAATAGTTACTTTTCTCGACAGGGGGTCAACAGGCATCGTTGATTTCCTGTTATCTTGCTCTTTCGCCCCAACAAGACTTTCACTGGACTTTATGCAGATTTACGTTTGTATTCTGTAAAGCATGGAGGTGACACTGACATAACTCACCCCAGGATGAATCTTGATAGTCCTAAAGTTTGTGGCTTTATGCCATGAATTGTTACCCAAAACCTCAGCAGCATTCACAGTTTGTACACCTCAAGCTGTTGCTGTAGTGGTGTAAAATAATCCAAACAGTAGATGCGGGAAAAGGCAGTGACTTGTATTAAAATGTACTGCAAGGACATGAGGTTTTTCTAGAGATCTGCATCAATGTGTTACAGTAAAATGCTTTGTTTAAATCATGTTAACAGTCTTGTGTTGCTCTGTGGATATGATCAAATGTGGATGTTATTACCATGAACAGACACAATGCAGAATCCTTATTCATATTATTGCCATGTATTATATAACATGACACTGCCTACAATACTGTCTGATGTTGCATAAAGGTTCCCAGTATTTTAGACAGACTGGAAATATGGAGAGAGAAAGTTTCAAGCCTGGATCAAACCAGAGGTGTTAAAGTGTCTTCGTAATTTTGAGATCTAACACGTCAAACAATTTTGTAGCAATTTATTGTCTAGTTGAGCACTAACAACAGATAAATACTCATTTCAGTCAAACTGCAAATGTGTGAACAACATTATTGAACATAAAAACCCTCAAAACAGTCTTTTGAGATGTTCAGTCAACCTCTAAATGCAGGTACAAACAAGGGTAAGTTCTCCTTTGGATTCTATGGGAAGTTATCTGATGGAGTGTAAGCAGTCTCAAAAAATGGAAACCCCTAATAGATGACCCTTGACATTTCTAATGGTGTAAAGGCTTAAAAAGGCAATTCCATGATTATAGCTGCTGCGCAGCGATGGGTCAGGTCCGGGCATTTTTAGGCAATTCTGAGCAACAAGCAGAAGAATTGGAAGACATTTAGGAATTTAGCAACACAATCTGCCTTTAGCATCAGCTGAGGCTTGAACTCAACCTCTGAGACTAAGAATCAATTTCTATCTCACTGAGCTAATTAGTCAGTGATAATTCATGTGTAGCTTCACAAATTGACTAAGCCAGACATGCAGGTTTAGCAGCCATTCATGCATGGAATTTATTTTAACAATGATTGATTTGCTTCATAAGTGAAAAACTGATGTTTAACTAGTTGAGCTATGTGCAAAGTGAGAAGCCTCAGATTCACACTGAAGTACTGACACTGGATCTTTGTGCAAAGTTTGGTTTATTTTCAAGCATGAGAAGGCAGATTTTCTAGCAGAAAAAAGACTTGTAGATGCTGCACAGTGATCAGTCACGCTCAGGCAATTTTAAGCAATAAGCTGGAGCACAAGAAGATGATTACATTACAATGTGGATTCTGCACCAGTTGAAGCTCGAATCCGCAACCTCTGGAACCTAAGATGGTCATCTACCGCTCTCAGCTAATTGGCGTAGCAACTCAACAGTGGCTTCACAAATTGAGTAAGCCATTCACTGTAGGAAAGCAGCCACCCGTGCATGAAACCACTGTAAAAAACGTTATTAAGACAGAAATCTGAAAATACACATATTGCATCTAGACAGCATGGAGATGTTGGTAATTTGTTTGTAACAATGATTGATTTGCTCCATAAGTGAAAAACTGATGTTCAAAATTGCCATTTTTACATTGACTCCAATTGTTCACATTAGAGTAAAATTCAAAATGCTGTCAAAAATTCAGTTTTTGAGATAAAATTCTGAAATTTGCCACACATCTACCATGACTGTAGAATTTTGTCATTTTTTCATGAACATTGAAGATTTATTTGACAAGAATTTGCATGTATATGTTTACAGTACCGTTTACAGTCAAACATTTTGATGCACTGTAGGCTCAATTTTTGATAAATCAAAAATCTGAGAAACAGTTTTTGTAGGACAGTCTGAAGATGCTCTGTAGCAAGTTTGGTGTCAATTGAGCAAAAATTGTGGGAGGAGATGGGTTTAAGAAGTTTTACAGTTTTTGAAAAAAAAAACAGAGTGATGAACTGCATAATTTTTAATAGGTTTAAGTGTGCAAAAGTTTCTTCAGAATTGGGGCTACAGTTTGATGAAAGTTGTGAAGTTGTAGCACGTGTGGTTGATTTGTTATGAATTTTCAAATTTTTGAAATTTAGACGCTTGCTGTAGCGCCACCATCAGGACTATTGGCTTGAGTTTACAGTTGCGGATATCTGGCATGAGACTGGACCTTTGTACAAAGTTTGGTGAGTTTTCACCCATGGGAAGTATGATTTCCTCAGAAGAAGAAGAAGAAGAAGAAGAAGAAGAAGAAGAAGAAGAAGAAGAAGAAGAAGAAGAAGAAGAATACCTAGGATTACAATAGTGTCCTGGCATCTTAGCTGCCCGAACACTAAATATACACAGTCATCTGGGACTGATAAGCTTTTATCGACTGTTAGGGTGCCTCACAGGTTTGGTAACAAACTTTACATAATGTTTAATAACAGTTGTAACACCTAAAATGTGAAGATAATTGCACCACATTTATTATTAAGACTTCAATTATTATAAAGGTCAAAAGAAGTGCGATAATTTCGGGTATAGACTGAACTCCACGCTGCTGAACGATGGGCCTCATTCACCAGCCGTTCTTATGAGGAAATCTCTTCTTAAAACCCACTTGTGCAGTTTTCATTAAGATTCTGACACAGGAATGTTTTTTTTATTTGGGATTTGTTATGAGGTAAGAACAGAATCTACACACACTCATGAGCACACTTGTGCATATTTGAGAACAGGTATGTTTGTGCAAAATAAGTGCTTATTGTGTTTTCTTCAATTCCACAGTTGTATAATATCATAAAATTGAAATGACTTTTTATCATTTAAACTAATATTTCTATAATTTCTTAATTATTTTACAAAGCTTTGGCTTTTAATTCAAATAAACACTTGGCTAACACATCAAAACTTCATCTAAATTAACTGGGCACCATGCTATCCAATAATAAGTGACTGAACACGTTATTTATAGGTACAAAGTAGGCCTATTTCTGCACTGTAGGCCCCCTGGCACGATGGCATATTTTATAAGGTTGAGCCGAATACTCGGACGAAACAAGTACCTGGTACAGATAATGTACTTTTTGCGGGTATGAGTATCATACAAGTGAAATGTGTCTATCTGCACTCATGAAAATGGAAAACCCTCCATTTGGTAGATGTGTTTAATTCATTAACTTACATCTATTTAAGGAATATTGCAACTTGTGGTTAATTCATATAACTTTCAGGCATAAAATAATGATTTCTGATTAGGCCCAACCCATGTTCGATTTAAACCACACCCACTTCTGCCATAGCCCCGCCCATTCCAAGATACAGATAATCTAGTAGGTTAAACAGATACAGATAATGGTGTACTTATTTATCCCTCATAGTTACTGCTGCTGCAAGATGATGCATATCGTGCCATAAGGAGGTAACACATCCTCCGGGACCATGTTAATCTATTTGTAGAGAGGTACGAGGGCAAGCCTGTCAACCTCCAATGGTCAGCGTCTTTCTTCTGTGTTTAGCAATAATTTTTCTAAATCTCATCAGTTGTACCGCCATCTCCAGATACAGTGTTCACTGAACGAGTAAAAGCATTTTGTGTTATTTCAAATCCACTACTGATAAAGACTTTCACAGGAAATATGACAGCTCATTTGGCGTTCACTTCCTGCAGAAGGACCAACACCTCAGAACTATTTAAATAGTTTTGTTTTATGTTTGGAGTCTGGTGCTCCACCCTCTCTAGATTTTCCTTTGGGCATTCATGACTTAATGTTCTCAACTTTTCTTTCCACTTTCTGTGTGCGCAGACAGCCCTGCAGCCCACAGTTCTGTGGTTTAAGAACATGTCATGAATCTGACACTGACTTTTCTTAGGACCTTTCTCAAAAACAAATTTAAGAACAAACTTAGGAAGATCTTGGTGAATGAGGCCCAACAAGCTCAGTTATTTTTTCCTTGATTCATTTATAAAAAGAAAAAACCTCAGTAACACTCCTTTTGTCTCTTGGCTGTGTAGTAGATGATGAGGCCCAGGGTGATCAGCACCCCTGAACCTACCAGAGTCAAGAAGCCCACCACAGGCCTCTTGACCAGCACATGGCAGCCGAGGCAGGGCTGAGTCATGCTGGGACACTGCTGGGGCGCTGCTCCCTGAATGGGGAAGCCGTTGTGCTCGATAATGTTGCGATAGTTGGAGAGAGAGGCCTTGATGATGATGACCTCTTCATGGACGTGGCCGTACAGGCCGAACCCAGGGTCCCTTTGGTCACTCAGGGCGTAAGCGAAGTAACCCTTCAGGTTTACGCCGTCCAGAATGTACGCTGAGGAGGGAGGAGGGAAGAAAGCGTGAGGAATTCAAGACTAATTTTCAGTTGCTGACAGAAAAAAAGTAACATTTCACCTTTAACATCTGAGACAAGTCCTATTAATGTGCTGCATCGTCAACAATTGTGACTTCTCTATAAAGACATACTTTATATCATTACAACTGTTCTTTCAGCCCCTCAGAGGATTTATAATAGATACATTTTCGCCCTTCCCTCAAACCCTTCAGGGATCGCTCCGAGGACAATCACCCTTGGAACTTTGGGGATATTTTGATGGGACACCACCACACATCCCTCTAAAAGTTGCCTAACTTGGGGGCAGGACCAAATAATATGAATGTGGTTTCCAGTTTGTGCACCACATTTTCTCCAACACTTGTCTGAATTGGATGGAGCCCACTTAGCTGTTACTTGTGGGGTCCGGAAATAGCTTGTTATTACTTTCCATTTAAACTCTCGCCAGATATTGGAATTAGTCGTCAAATTTGCCTCACTGCAAATTTGCCACTAGGTGTCTGGTGATAGTTTGTTAGGTACTGTTTTAAATAAGACGGTAATAAGAAGCTATTTATAAAATGTATTTTATTGCAGTGTGACAGTCTGAGATAATAAATAAATGACAAAAACAATGTTTCTACACAGCTCATAAAGGTTAAACTGCTTATAAATCTTAGGGGGCCCCTTGGCCTTCACCTGCAAAATGACACTCAATTAACACATACAGTCCAGGAAGAGACTCAAAAGACCACAAATAGATGCAAAGGAACTGCAATGACACACAACATAACAACAAAAATGGGCAAAACAACTACAAAGAGACACAAAACGGCCAAAAAAGACACACAAAATTGTCACACCATTGTCTCATAACCTGCCCATTGTTGAAGTAAAGTGTTATCACATCATTTATATAGAACATAAAGCATCAGTAGATTGAAAATACCACCAAAAGAAGTTATTGTTTGCAGCTGTGGAAAGTAACTACGGTAATTTAAAGCACTCTAACAAAGTAATTTAAGAGCATATTGTCAGAGTATTAGCATTTAGCATGATTTTTGTACATTGCTCTTTGGAGAAAATGTCTAATTATAAAACAAGTGACATGTTTGATTTTACAGGTCACAACTATAAGAACTTTCAGAGATCAAAAGGTTTCATAAAGCACTCAATATTAGGATGAATACATTCCTCATATGCCATAGCTGATTTATTTCAGTGTAAACATACTGTATCAATTTACACTCACTGTTTTCTGTGGGTGGTTTGCCCCCTAGTGGTTACAGAGCACACCACAACATACAATATGATGACACATCACAGCTTCAAAGAGGCAGCCGAGGTCCCAGTGTAACCCAATAAACTCTACAAGGACAGGTGACTGGACAGTGAGTAACCTCGACTCCACAGTACAAGTGTAGAGTGTTGATATTTTTGTGGGGTCTGAGTCAGCTGACTATTCACGGGTCAGTGACCTGAATACCTGTCTAATAATTAAGCTCTGCAGAGGCCAGTAAGGAGAAAAACATCAGGGCCCTCTAAAGGACTCATCTCTCAGAACACAAAATGCGGTGATAACAATATTCAGCTCACGCTGCATTAATCAAATCTCCACAGCAACATGTGTTGGTGCAGTCTTACCTTTCAGCGCCTCGTTGATGTAGTTGTACAGGTAGTAGACTCTGAGGCTGTCTTTGAAGCGCGCTGGGTCTTCCTGGACCCCGTTAGCCATCACATACACAGGTACGTCACTGTAGTGCTCCCTCACCTTACACAGCAGGAGAGCAGTGTCAGTTTATCTTATACTCCTATCATGGTATCGATATGTTATTGTTACATTGTATATAATCTACATGTGTTTGTCTCAGATCAAACTCCATCTGAGTTGTTCGCCCTTTACTATGTGTCTACGTACCTGCTTACTGGTTTTCATACAACAGAAAAGGGTCAGTAAGCTCAACATCGAGCTATTTAACTATTAACAACACTGTGCAAGACAAGACGAGACCAGTCTCACCCAGTTGAGTGCTTTCCTCAGACCCCAGGGAACAACAGGCCTCGGGGACTTGATCCAAGTGGTGTCTATCATGTGCTGGACCTCGAGCATGGCTGTGTAGGTGTACCTGCACACATGGAGATAATACAGAAGCCATGAAGCATATGAAAAATCTTATCTTGTGCCTTCAAGATACTGGAGGAATCACTACATCATGGCAAAAATATGTCTTCAACTAAACTTATAAAACTGTATCTCTCTCTTTTGTTTCCTGTGTGCATGTTCATCAAAATAAAGACGACCAATGATTGTATCTTACGAGTCTTCCTTGGCATGTGTCACCAACTTGGTACTGAAGTGACTGATGGCAAAGAAGTCATACGTCCCTTTAACCAGCTGTCTGTCCTCCTCATTGAACACAGGCAGGCTGTAGAGACACAGAGGGTGGCATTTATATAGAGGATTGTGTAAGAGCGGTGTCTAACAAGTACACATTGGTAACAAATTCAACTCTTACATCTTGTTACAACTATAAATACAATGATACACTGAATTACAGAGGTCAGATCTATTTGAATTTCTTTACTGTGATTCTTGTGTTTCATCTATAGCTAACAATGTAACTGTATTGAATTATGAATGAAGTATCTGTACTCAAGTGAGTTGAGCTGACGCAGCCAGCTCCTCATGCCCAGAGGATAGTCCCCGCTGCCAAAGACCGGCTCTGCAAACCAGCCAACACGGAAGTCTAACACCCTCTTGGCTGGTTCGACGTCTTCGCGGCTGAATGAAAATGCCGGCTCCACCCAGTCCATGTGCAGAGCCAGAGACACCTGAGACACGATGACAAACACGGTGCAGGTGATCATCTGTGATGTTTTTATTCTCCTGTTGATGAAGTTACTCATGAAAGATTTTTAGGCTACATTTACTTTATTCACTGTTTATAACACATTGTTGAGCACAAGGAAGCTTTGTGTTTTACATCACTTGGATCAGAAAGAATATTTTGTTTGGAGTAAAGAGAAGCAGCACAAGCAGCCAGAGCCAACATGAGTAAACAAACAAAAACAAATCCTACACGCAACTTTCTGAAAATGCACTGTACTGACAAAAGCTGGCTCTCTGAATACTTACATATAATAAAACAACAATACAAGTATTCAAATATAATTAATAAATCAGTCCCTCTACTGACCTTTCCTCCCTGTGCGTGTCTGAACTCGCGGTCATAAACATGCCAGGCCAGAGCGTGCGCCCGCAGCATCTGATGACCCTCCTGGTAGCTCACCACCTCATCATTGGGTTCATTCAGGGTGATCCATATCTTCACATGGGCGCCCAGCTCTCTGTAACAAAGCCTGGCGTAGTCTGCAAACGCCTCTGGAGTCTTCCTGTGTAAAAAGTCAGGTGCATAAATTGTATTTATGCCAAGATTGCATTTATATCAGGCACATTTTGATAGATATAAAGAATTTCAACATAACAAAGTAATTATAATATGAAGAACACGTATTGCAAAACACTGTAAAGCTCACGCACATTTACATACAGAGATAAATCATAGGAGATTTATTAACATATAAAGCTAAATGTTGTTCCAGTGAAGATGAAAATGCCAATACATCACATTGGCTGTGGGATTAGTGATGTTGCTTTATTACAGGAAAAGGACAGATGACACCATGGCAGCAAGTGATAGCTGTTTCATGTTGATGGCAATAAGGACAAACTGTTCCTGGGAACATGTTTACTTTGACATCAGACCCGTCTGTAAATCATCGGAAATAGTAATAAACCTCACCTGATAAAGATGGATGTTTACTGGTCCTGTGGTTGGAATAGATTTCCAAGAACAGTCATGAAACTTGCTCAGACATTAATTTGAAATAATAAGTCATCTAAATTTTAAATTCAAAGAAGAAATTGGCTTTTCAAGAAGAGTGGTGAGATAGACGGAGATAGTCTCCTACTTTAGGCATCAACCATCATAAAACCTGCAAAGTTTTTTTTTTTTAAAGATATTTTTATGGGCATTTTTTGCCTTTAATTGTAGGATAGTGAAGTGTGAAGGGGGGAGAGAGAGAGGGAGAGACATGCAGCAAAGGGCCACAGGCTGGAGTCGAACTTGTGCCGCTGCAGCAACTGCTTGTACATGGGGTGCCTGCTCTACCACTAAGCCACCAACGCCCCACCTGCAACATTTAAACCTGGAGTGACATCACTTCTTCTGCTGCTTTCAAATTCCCTTTGCAAGTATTTAAACCTTTGAACTCTGAGCAACTTACTGCAATTTCTCTCAAAAACATGGGGGAAAAAGGCAATGAGCATCTGACCTGTTCAGCCACTTGTTGGCGGTATCCAGGGGTGCCGGCAGGCTGCTGCGCAGGCGTGTGTGGTGCCACAGCGTAACCACAGGAGTGACATTGGCCTGCAGCAGCTGACGGGTGAAGCAGCGGTAGTAGCCCAGCAGGGTGGTGTTGGGATGAGCCACATCACCTGTAGGCACCACAGCGGACCAGTTGAGGGAGAAGTGGAAGTGGTTTACCCCCACCTGCTGGATTTCATCCACCTACAGACAGAGAGGAGGATGAACATGTCACTACTTTAACGTTTACACCTACAGAGTGAAGATAGTACCTTTTTAATACAAAGGCTAGATGCTGGGGCAATACCCTTTGTGAGAATGCTACCAGAAGCTTTCCTGCAATTCAGTTTGCACTATCAAAAGTATAAATAAGAGTACAATTACTAACAAGCTCTTGATTTTAATTTCAAATACAGTAATCATGTAAAGGAAGAAAGGCCTCTCACACCTGAAGCTGTTATTTTTATGGTATCTCTGGAACGAATGCTTTCCAGTGCACAATTGTTCCTCTTCACTTGCTCTATTTTTGAGAGTGAAAAGCTATTCCAAAGATAAACGTTTGACCTGTGGAAAGACCCACCTGTTGCCGAATGGTGGCGTAATCAGCACAGTGTGCGTTTCGACGTAAAGGTGGCGCACTGAGGCCCTCCAGCCTCATCAGCTCCCCGTTGTTGGAGATGTTCCACAAGTAAACACTGGGGTCTGCAAACTGGCTGGGCGTGGTCTCCACCTAGGACACCAAGACACACACCAATGTAACGTTTGCCTCATACACACAAATGCAAATAAAAGCCAAATGGGGCGAATCGATAGTAACAGTTGGTCCTGTGCTGTGTAGCTCAGCTGGTAGATGGTGTGAGGATTTGTGGTTTATGATTAAGAGAGGATGAACTGTCGCGGCTGTTTCTGAGCTGGACTTTCACCATGAAATCTGCAAGTTAATAATGTGATGAGCATGACTTTAAATAGACAGGGAGGAGAGGGGCTGCAGCTAATAATTTCCTTCCTTAAAACACTACAGAGAATAAAAAATAATACAACTTCTGAATACGTCTTTTGCTTTATGGAGAGTTAACAAAACTTCACACATCACTAAATATTAGTGAGCTTTATACTGAGTCTCTCAACCAAAGTTAATACATTGTTAACTCTTCTTTAGGTCCGCCTGTTTCCAAGAAGGCATTCTAGATCAGTGGTTCCCAACTGGTGCCGCCACAGGGTCCAGATTTCTCCTTAGTCATTAGTTCAAGGTCCACACATTTTAATATATTCAGTGTCATACTTGTGTTTGGCCATGTCTTCGAGCTAGTTTTCCATCTCTGTCAAGTAGCTGTCCGTTAGTTACTCACATACAGGAGGAAAATGCACATCAAACGTGACAGAAATTCACTGTACTTCAAAATAAAGTGTGTTTTTCACTTGCGTCCATTCAGAATGGACCAGAGACCCACCAGTTGGGAACCACTGTTCAAGGTGTTTCTTCTAACAGACCTCTGCCCTTTGGCACTCTCCACAACTCCCCTATCATACCACAGCACTCTCATACAGTTTACACATTCCTTCCTCTCATGCTCAGCCCACACATACACACAACTGGGGTGTCTACAGGTATAAACACTTACATTTAACTTATTGAAGCACTGCAGATAGGTATTGCAGGTAAGTTTTATGTACAAATATGGTTGTCAGAGTGACTTAGGTTAATCTACATTTTGCAAACAGGTAAGTGCAAGTACAAAGTGACAGGACAATGGAATCTTCATTGGTAGATTTAAAGATTTGTAACATCAGAAATATGGACTTTCACACAGACGAGCTTAAATCATGATGACATGAAGAAAAAAGATGGATAAATCTAATTAGATCAAATATTTGTGGCCATCAAGACCTCAGCTATTCAAATTTATCACTGTTTTATGACATTTAAGACATGACATTTAATATAAGTATTTTATAGACCTGCACACACCCTGAAAACACAAACACACATACCTGTATGGAGTTGGCCGATACTCCCCAAGCAAAATCACACGGGAAGATTCCCTGTGCTGGTCTGTTCTCTGGAAGCTCTGGGAATCCGTTCTTCTGGATGACGTTTCTTTAGGAATAATGAAGAATCATCACTACAGGAGGAGCTGTGCTGAGAATTAAACTATCTCTGGAGTTGTAAGGCATCAGTGCCAATCTGTGCACATTTTAATAATATAATATAATATTTTGCTTCCTTTGTCAGAGCCCCACTTGTCACACCCAAGCACGTACCTGTAAAAGGTGGCGGATGTCTTTGGCTCCCTCTTCATGTCAGGAGTGTTGAAGTCAACGTAGTAAAGTCCCTGTCGTATCCCGTATTCCCTGTGCCACTCGAAGCCGTCCATCAGAGACCAGGCGGTGTATCCAATCACGTTCACACCGTCTATGACGATTGCTGTATGCCAAACACAGATTCAAGTCACCAGCTCTTTTCTATCTTGAGATTTCTGTCTGATGTAAAATGGTTCATGCTGATGTCAGATTTGTTGTGGTGAATGTGTGACATTACTCACATTTCAGTGCCTCTGCGATGAACCTCTTGAGGTAGTACATGTGTTTTGGGTCTTCTGTCTTGGTATTGCCGAGGACGTACCTGTGATGAGCAGCAGAGAAAACACAACGTTCCACAATACAGCAAACACCAGGACGTCACAGATGAGTAATCACAGCATCCAGACCTACCAGCCACTCTGCACCACGAAGATGGGCGGCTTGTCATACTCAGCGTTGACCCAGTAGAGCAGCATCCTCAGGTCCAGGAGCTCCTGCTGCCGAAACTTCAGGCTGTCATTGATGAACTGGAAGCTCAGGGCCGCTCCGTGAGAAAGGGCAAAGAAGTCAGCCGTCCCCCTCACCTGCGCCCTCTCCTCCGGGGTGAAGGAGGGCAGCCGTGAGCCCAGCCTCGCCTTCATGCAGGGAGGGTAGTCTCCGTCTGTGAACAGAGGCCGGGCGAACCAGCCCAGGACGTGGTCCAGGGAGCACTGGCACTCTCGCAGGCTTTCCAAGCGGGTGCGACTGGGCTTGATCCAGTGAGAGGCCAGCGCCATGGACACCTTGCCCTGCTGACGGGGTCGGTAGTGGCGGTTATAGAGATGCCACGCAGCTGCATGAGCCTGGAGGAGAAACAGATGGACAGAGAGAAATGACAGACAGAGGAAGGGAGAGGAGAGGAAGAGGTTGGATATAGATGAAAAGGATGGTAATGATGACAGAAAGAGAAGGTCAGGGGTGCAAAGAAAATCCACCAGTCAGACATTTATATCATTTATTTAACCTTTATTTAACCAGGAAGTCCCATTGAGATTGAAAATCTTTTTTACAAGAGAGACCTGGCTGAGGTAGCAGCCAATAAAATCACATTTAAAATGCAATAAATACAACAAATGATACGAAAATCCACAATAAAACAACAACTATTCAAACACAGTGGCCTCTCAAGAGAAACAAGCACATGTCTCTATCACCTAACAATATTTTATTCAGGTCGGTGCAGCTCAAAGTGCTTTACAGGTGACTGAATAACCAGTAAAACTAATAAGAAAATTAAAGAATGTCAATCCTGGGTCTTTGTCACATTACGATTCCCAAAGCCATGGCATACCTTTGTTTTGTAGGTTTGTTAAAATTCTAATAAAAATTCAATCTAAAAAAAGGCAATTAAAAAATTGAAATAAATATTTTTTAATAATTAGATAACTGAAAAATTATAAAATATAATATTATTTTAAATATTTAAAAAATAGAAATCAGAATTAAAAAAAAGATGATTAAAAAGCCTTAAAAGGAATAAAAAGATTATAAAAGTGAAATAAAATGAACGCAAAAAAGTAGATATAAGCAGTGTTTCTTTATTTTTACACCTTTAAAGAGGAATATTGTACTTTTTACTGGCTTACTGGACGACTAAATTAAGTAGATACTTTTCATTAAATTTTATTCCAGAACATATCATCATAATCTAAATGCATTGTTATGGATTAAGCTATCTAACTGAAGTACTTCGTCATTGCTCCATTTGCTAATAAAATGCTGTTCACACAATAATCCTTATTCAAATCAATCAGTCATAAAAATCCAACATGTCTAAAAATTATACACTAAATTCTGATACTTAAAATATGTCCTAATGCTATGTCTGTTTTCCTCAGTTGTATCCTTTATGTCTTTTTAATGTTGTCATAATTTTTCTGTATGCATTTTTGTGTTCCTTATAACATTGTGAAATTCTAATACTTTTAGAATATTAGATATTCTAAAAATTAGGGTTAAGTATTTGGGTTTTCTGCCTTTCCCTGCACTGTATATGTTATCTTTGAATTTTTTTGTGTTTTAAATTGTGCAAAACTAACAACATAAACATAAAACAGTGTTGTATTGCTACACTCAAAATAGAGAATATCATCAGAGATAAAAATCTAATAGCTAAGACTCCTAAAACTGCTCCTGGCACTCACCTTTAGGAGAATGTGTCCAACCCGGAATGGGAGATCAGGGTCGTTCTTGATCCCGGGAGCGACCACTCCGGTGCCGTACCCGTGCCACGCCACCACAAACGGATTATCAATGGTGATCCAGTACTTCACATCATCCCCGAAAGTCTGGAAGCAGAAATCAGCGTAGTCCTTGAAAATCCCCACCAGCTCCGGGTTGCTCCAGCCGCCAAGGGTCTGCTGCAGGTGGTCGGGCAGGTCCCAGTGGGAGAGCGTGATCACCGGCTGCACGCGGATCTCCTTCAGCCTCTTGATCAGTGTCCGGTAGTAGTTGGTGCCGATTTCGTTGTAACTCCCGCGCGTGCCGTTGGAAAATATCCTGGACCAGGACAGGGAGAACCTGTAGTGGCTGACCCCCAGCTGCCTGATGGCACGGATGTCGGCGTGGATGTTGTGATAACTGTCGCTGCCGACGTCCCCGGTGGTCATCCGGTTCCCACCGCGCGTAAAAGTGTCCCAAATGGAGAGCCCCTTGCCGTCCTTGTCGAACGCGCCCTCCACCTGGTACGCCGCCGTGCCCACCGCCCATATGAAGTTCTTTGGGAAGGTATCGTAGAGGAAAGCCTCGTCTCCTGGATAGGGCAGCTTACTGAAACGACCCCACGTTTTCAAACCAGCGTTGGGTTTTGCTGCCGCAGAGGTGAAGGCGAGAAACGCCAAAAAGGCGCGCAGAGCACTCATAGTGCCGGTCAACACTGGCCTCTGATGCCCACTTTCTAACTCTGATCGTCATTTAACCATGCTTGGAAGCTTTCTGTGACTGTACAGCGGGCTGTGAGGTGCAGCCAACCGTGAACCCACCACACGCCACCTCTCCACATCTATCAATTATTAGCCAAAGCACCTGACGCACAAAGGTCTCCAGGCACAACATAAGAGCCCCAAATGATCAATCGTTTGCAAAGCAGAGGCACTTTAGTTTAAGCTGTAACTAAAGACATACATGAGGAAGTCTCATTTTAATTTTTTCAGGCTGTTTAAGTTGTGCTTTTCCTTCAAAGTGATCATTTCTACCTGGATTTGCTGACACATCAGGAGAGTGACCCAGGTGCACGAGCCCTAATATGATCTCAGTAAGTGCTTCATTATCATACATCCTCAGCTGGCAGATCATCTCATAACTCTATTTCAGTGTCACATGTCAAGAGCACAAAAAACTCATCTGCATTTCTCACTGGATCAAGTTCAGTCAGGGGATGATGGGGGGAGGAAAAGATATGAAAACAGCAGTCAGTGTACCCTGCTGCAACATGGGCCCATTACTTCCTTATCTTCCTGCTTTCAGCTCGGTTGCTGGGAAACTCAGGCCTCTTAGTGCTGGCCATCTTGGTCCATATAGCACCTGCATAAATAACTCAAGAGGTGTTAGCCTGTTGGATGGTGTGTGTGTGTGTGTGTGTGTGTTGTAATAAAGGAATAAACCGTCAGCATTCAGACTGAGGCATGGCAACCTTTTCTGAATAGGTAAGCTATAAGATATTAAGCCCATAGTATTTTAGATTGATTCTGTTTCATAAAATAAGTTTTGAAACAAACAGTAAATAGAAAAAAAAGGCATAAACCCTTTCAATATTCAGTTAATTGTGGTAGACATTTCCTGATTCCAGTCTCTCCAATGTGAGTGAGAAATCCATTTTCAAGGTCTGATCTTAACCATTTTCTCTTCTGCATTCATGACTTACGAACAGGTGGAAAAACTAGAATTACTGCCTCGCTGTTGTTTGTCACCATGAACCAGTCAAGGTGCAGTTACAGTTTACATCCATGTCTGTCCAGAGTCATAGTGGTGTTGTGTTTTTAAAAAGGAAACTACAACCACTTTCAAAATTCCTATATGTTATTCCTGTGGTCTAAGATCAGGCTACCGTTCATTGTCTATGGAGCAGCTCCAGAATTGAGAGTGTAGCTTATGCTCACAAACACTGATCTTTCCTTGGCCATTTAAGTAACATATTGGTTCTTAATTTAGGTGGAGATCCCCTTGAAGTGTTTCTGCAGAACATTATGATGTCACAGTGAAGTTGGCCTTTGACCTTTTGGATATAAAATGTCATCACGTTTTTCTCCTCTCATACATTTGTGTGAAATCTTGTCATAATTAGTGTATCAATTCTAGAGTTATGGCCCAAAACATGTTTTGTGAGGGTCACAGTGACCTTTGACCTTTGACTACCAAATATCAAGCAGTTAATTGTTGAGTCCAAGTGGACGCTTGTGTCAAATTTGAAGATATCCCCTCAAGGTATTCTTGAGGTATCACATTTAGAAGAATGACACAGACAGACAGACAACTTGAAAACATAATGCCTCTGGCCGCAGCTGTCACTGGCACAGGAGCATAAAAAGATTTAGCCAGAATAATCTAAGTTCCTAAAACTATTTTGTTCTTAACTGTGATACAGGTGGGAAAAAGCCCCCCCCCCCCAAGCTCTATTCACAATAAAAGTTAGATTTTAGAATAAATGTGCAGGCTGGACATTTTACCCTGTCTGACATCTGAATGCATTAAAATACAAATGCAAACAAATATGAAAATAAATCACAGCTATATCTATTTTTAGATAATATAATCATATACAGCCCAGCAAGTGACAAAGATGAGGAATGTAGTCGCTCATTATGTTTGTCCTGAGAGGCTGGTAGTTTATCTGATGCATCTGGCAGCCGAGGGCACGTGACGACGGCTGGTCATGGATCATAACCACGGGCAGAACATGGTGTGTGGGTGTTTTTCCACTGAGCTGAGCTGCACTGGAAAGTTCAGATCTCAGGTGTACGCACAGAAGCACTGCTAGTGTCCATATATAACACAGGAAGAACACCATTGAGTGATGCTCAGCAGCACGAGAGAACGGTCTGTATGGCTGAATCAGAGCCAGTTCAAATACAGGGCTCATAACTCTGAGCTTGAAGATGTGGACAAACAGTGGAGAGAGGCTGATACTCTATTCAGATGGGGAAAATACTGTATGTACAAAATAAAATCTCGAAACAAAGACAACCTGTGCTGTTTAATCAAGTTTTAGTTCTTGGCTTAACGACAGAAACTGTTGCTTTATGCAAACATTGGCAAAGTTTAAAGAAATCCAAACTTTGAGTTGAATAAAACAATTCTTAAGACATCTGAGAGGCTTAATTATTCAGCCATTTAATCAGTTTCTGTCAACATATGTAGTGTATGCTGTGTCACGTAAAGCAATACCTTATATAAGCAAGAATTCCCTACTCTGGTAGACTCCATACTCACTGGAAGCGGCCACATCCCTTTTTCTTTCTTCTGTTTCGGCCTGACAACAGAAAAAAATAAAGCAACATGTTTCCATCAAGGCTCCTAAGGTAACATGTTGGAGCCACTATAGATATGAGTTCATAGTAATACTGTATAGAACTTCTGTCTGTCACAAGGATGGTGTCATCAATTAGCAGTCCCAGTTCACAAATCTATTTTTAGTAAAACACATTTGGGCTGCAGCAGTACTTACTTAAGTCTTTGTATTCACAGGCCATTTGTGAAAGCCCTCCATCAGCTCCGGTCTTGTGCCTCTCGATGCAGTTGCCATCATGACAGCCTGTTTTATCTCTTGCTCTGTGCTTCTTCACCAGGTAGTTCAGTCTTCCTTTCTTTCTGACTGCAGCAGTCACAGCTGCCAATTTCTCCCTGTCATGTGGTGCTACAATACATTTTAAACAGTGAATACGTTTCATAGGTTTGATTAAAAAGGTCTGATCTTATAGACCTTCTTCACAGCGTAAGTGTTGACTTCTCATAGTAGGGAAAGCACAGGTGTAACTAAGAATATCACCAATGGCACAATGCCGGGACCGTGAAACTGAAGCAGCTAAATGGAATGGAGCCATCATTAATCTGATTATTTACACCTGTGGCTTTCTGACTCTGCCATGTCACAATGTTTGCTGTGAAAAAGTTTGTTGGAACTTTCTGAACATGTGCCACTGAGAATTCCCTGCTCTGATGTGTTTACAGTTCTAAGCAAATTGATGCGCTTGTGCTAAACTACCTAGCTTCAGTACTGATAATATCCCTCTCTATGTAATTGTCGACCAACCGCTCTTGCTGACACGCTGCACTGACATATTCCCAGTCACCTGAGGAAGAGCAGCTCTTCTGTTCTCCTTATATCGCACTAATGCACAAGAATAACAGTCAAGTGTGCACTGTCGACCACCGTATCAGACCCTATTTATCAATATGCTTCCTCTGGATCTAAAGGCAGATGTCATTTTGCAGTGGTAAAAGATGTTTTCCTTAAGTAAAAATTGGGATACTGTGAAAAGTACAATACTCTGTTACACGTGAAAGCCCTGCATTCAAAATCTTACGCCATCAAAACATGCTTAAAGTACAAAAAGTAAAAGTATGGCCCATTTCAGAGCCACACTGGAGCCTATCCCAGCTGATATTGGGAGGGAGGCAAGGTACACCCTGGACAGATCACCAGACTATCACAGGGCTGACACACAGAGACAGACAACCATTCACACTAGGGCTGCAACTAACGATGTTGACTAACCTGTCGATTATTTCTTCCATTAGTCGACTAATCATTTCATCGTAAAATGTGTTAAAATGTTGAAAAATGTCGGCCTCTCTCTCCCAAACCCCAAAATTATGTCATTTAATGTCTTGTTTCGTACTCACGCCAAAGGGTTTTAGTTCACCGTCATGGGAGAGTGTGTGAAGCTGCCAATATTTGAACATAAGAAGCTGCAATAGGAGTATTTTAGGGTACTTTTATAGTACTTTACTATGAAAAATGACTCAAACCTAAACGGTTAGTCGACTACTAAAATAGTCACCGATTATTTTGAGAGTCAATTAGTCATCGATTAGTCGACTAATCGTGGCAGCCCTAATTCACACTCACACTCACATTCACACCTAGGGCAATTCAGAGTCACCAATTAATTTGCATGTCTTTGGGCTGTGGGAAGAAGCTGGAGTACCCAGAGAAAACCCCACGCTGCCACGGGGAGAACATGCAAACTCCGCATGAATCCCAGGATTCGAATCAGGAGCCCTGTTGGTGCAAGTTGACAATCAAATATATGTAGTGGACTAAAGAGTACAATACTGGCTTCCAGAATGTGTTTGAGCAGAATCATACAGTAGCAGAAAATGAAAATACAAGTACACTGAAATTTTACTTGAGTAAATGTACTTCTATTTCCTGTTCAAACACTAGCCACTTGAGCAGTCTTTGTGATCAAAGCTCCTGCCATCTGTACTCCAACAATCACAAAGTCACACAAGATCTATCTGTTCCTTTTGCCATCCTGATACAAAATGAGAATCAGCTGGGACTGCTCAGCATGTTTATACACGCCATAGGACGTCGCATGATTGTACCACTCAGTCAACCTATGCGGAAGTGTCTGCATTCATTGTTTCTTCACTCATTAATTCAGGTTTTCCTTTGAGTCGTTAACCATCTGCGTTTGTGTAAGACAAATGACTGATATTTTCATTTGTGATGTTACATATTGCATTTTGTTGGCAAGGGGCCACTGCAGGATTATACCCTCCACGTGTTTGGAGACAAACTAGCACCTGTGTCATCCATTACAATCACGGAGGGTACAAAAAAAAAAGATTATTTTTCAAAATTTCTAAAGCCCACTTAAGTCTAGATGAGCCAACTTTGATCTGGTTTTGGTTCTTCCTGATTTCCGGTACACCTGAAGGCATCACAGCTGATCATCTCCTGCAGGAGGAGCAAACCGCTTCATCCAAGACTTGAAAAA